AATAAATAAATAAATAAATAAATAAATAATGTTCTTTCATTTTTCTGCAAATTGTCCTCTTGTACCAATGAAGCTAAGAAGCTCACATTTGTTTTTAGAGGGTGAAGTATATGGTATAGTGCAAAGCTGATGTAAACTGAGTTCTCTCACATCTTGGCAAGTGTTTTGCAGAGTGGCAGAGCCTTGTATTATTGGGGGAAAGAGGTTATTGAAATTACTTGCAAAAGCAGGATGTGAAGATGGTCATCAATTTGTTACCATGGGTAACTGCAAAGATTGGAATGAACTTTAAATGAACCCTAACCCTAAAGCTGCATTCACAGCAACTGTTAAAACACATCTGTCCAAGGCATGGAAGCAGGAACTGTGTTCAGGTAACACTGCAGTCATTAACATGGACCTAGGCTGAGGCAGTGCCCAAAATGGAATGACCGATTCATGTAATGGGTTGCTCCAGCCAGTTTTTCATTTCCAGAGACCAAGCTGTTCATGATCATTCACAAGTATGTTGATTCATGTCTTAAAATGCTCTGTACATGGTGGGGGGGGGTAAGGGAGAATACCATCTGATTCTACTGATATCCAAATATTTGCTGTACAAATCAGGACCAAACTGTTCCAGGCTGATTTGAATACAACCTAAATCAATTTGTTTTCAGATATCCACAAATATTTGTATGCAATGATATGTGTCCGGTTTGAGGGGGGGGAACCCTGAAAATTTGAAAATAGGAGAGCACTATTTCAAAACCATCAACTCTTGGAATCTAATTTAAATTCTGTAAGCCAGGCTCCCACCAACTGCTTATCTTCCTTCTGCCTTCACCAAGGAACCATGTTCTGGGGGAAAGTGTCTTAGTGGTATGGGAGATTTGCCCTTAGCACCCCAAATCAGTAGTCTGGCTTTCCTAAGTGTGTTCACTTATTACCCAGCCAACATCAGAGTGTTGAATGTTTGGCACCCACCCACTGTGAATATCCTGTACCTATAAAACTCTGGCAAGAATTGTTATAAGTTACCACTGACTCAACACACAGTTATTATTCCTAAAATAGGAAATATTGAGAACTGCTGTGTGGCGACCCACCTTTGTGCCCTTTATATCTTTGGGCTCTACAAAGGTAAATACGCCCTTTTCGCTGCCACCAGGTATTCTCTTAATACCAATTCAGGTCCCACACACACACAGGAGTTGCTCATGTAACTTAGGAATCAGGTTTTCAATTAAACATTCTTTTATTAATGAACAAATAAAAAGGAAATCATTATATAACTGGTTCAGGTATTCATGTATAATAAATCATGTGTTCAATCACTGGTATTCAGAGCTCTTGTGTACTTTAAATCAATATCTCCCATGTTTTACTTATAAGTTCATTTCTGCCTGTTACATGTGTGTTTTAATCTTTCAGTTTCTTTTCTGAACCCCTTTTTATTTATTCCTAAACCCTAACACTTTCTCAACATCTTGTGGTCCCGAACTCTCTCTATTTCTCCCTGATTCCAACTCTATCCCTATCTAATTCCAACTGTCTCTTCCAGCTGTCTTAACTGTCCTTTTTGCTCCGCCCCTCCTGCTCTATCCTCTGATTGACAGGAAGGGATGACGTCATCTTTTGGATTCCGTTACATGCTGTTATAGAACAGAGCGGTGGGCAACACATAGTCCACATGCCTGCCACTGCTTTTTGCAGCCCCTCCCAAGCACCACAGAAAGACAAAAGTCCTCCTACCCCATCTGCCATAGAGTGCTCTGTAGTCCCCATCCCCATGATAACCTTGCGAATGATGCCTTCTCTTCCTTTGTGTCCAGACGCCATCTTTCAATAACCAAAGCAAAATAACTAACAGAGAGTGATAGAGGGGAAGAATCTGAAACCCTATCTAAGGGTCTCTTGCAGGGCTGTGTCCCCCACCAGCATGCCTGCAGTTTCAGCCATAAGGAAGGCAAATGTGTGAGAGAAAATTCAAGTGGTTTGGGCATTTGTAAAAATGTGGGTGATCAGCAAAACTATGGGCATCAATGTACATATGGAGAATTTTGACTAATGAATGGGAAAGTTGGTTTGAAAGTTCGCCTTCTTTCCTGAAACAAAGGAAGGATGGAAGAACTTGTTTTAGAAATAAACTCAACTTCAAGATTTGATGGGTTTCAATGGTAATTTTATTGTTAATTAGCAAATCAACATTGCTCCATTTCATCCAAGGGAGAAGCATTCTGGTCCCTATAAAATCAAGAAAGTTGCCCTGAAATTGACAAGGTAGATGCCAGCAAGTATAAACGCCAGCAGTTCCTTCATTCAGGAGTAGTTCATCTATTAGGGCAGGCGGAGTGCTGTTTCATCTCAGACTTGCGCTCCCCTCAGTCATCTCCCTCCTGCCTGCCTCAAGACCAGAGGCAGAAAGCCTCTCTATATGTGATTGTCTCTCTGCCTCCATGTACAGATGTGTGCCTGTGTACATATGGATTTATACCCACTTTTGCCTATGGCCCGCCCACCACCAGTTGCTATACCTGCCATCCCATAAACCACAATGGGCCCCTGGAACCAACACATCATTTTCCTGTGCAGGCGCTACACAACAACCACTGAAAGCTCAAATGAAATTAATTCTCTGTGTAGCCATTCTTTCCCCAGCCAACAGAAATACACTGTGGCAAGTGGACTTCTCCACGAAAGCTCACTTTAAAATACAGCAGTTAGTCTTTAAGATGTCGCAACGTTTTTGTCTTTCTTATCTTTTTAATTTTCTTTTCTTTTGGCTTTGTCTGGTATGCTTGAACAGACTAACACAGCTGCCTTTTTAAAAACAGCAGTAATGAGAAATAGCATTTTCTTCTCGAAATAGAAGACATAGGGCTTATTATGGCCAGTATTCACTTGCGTTTTTGCTGAGCGGAAAGTCCTGGCACTGTAAGCATGTGGGATAGCATCAACAGCACAAATGTTTGGAGGCTGCCACCACCTGGTTTTGCCACAGGCTGTCTATGCAGATACGTTTCTCTCCTTTAGCATTAACAACTTGAAAAGCGCACCTGTTTACATTTGAATGGGGCTCTCTTGGCAAAGGGAAATATTTTTCCTTATTCTGCAATATCTCTGGGTAGTTCTTGTGCCAACTACTCTATTGAAATTTGGATCACCTGCATCTTTGGGGTATTAGGAAATGGTTCTTTACTTGTTCAGCCACCCCTGAAGGACAACCTGCACAAAGAAAGAAACTGACTGACTTACCAACCAAAAAAAGGGAGACTGATAATTGAATCACAAAACCCACCATTCTTGTTGTCCCCAAAGCTATAACAAGCTCATTTTGTTCTGTTGTCTTGGACTCCAAATCACGAAACCTGAGAAGATATAAGGCCACAACCATGGAAAAGTCCTCTGGGATCATCTTATTTATTTAAAATATTTTTACCTCACCTTTCTCCTCTGGAAGGATCCAAGGTGGCTTACATCATTAAAAGACAACATTTAAAGCTAAAAGCAGTAGGTATACAAATATTAAAAAGGACTAAGCAAATACCACAGTAAAAAAATTGTAAACAAAAGCAACAACAAATTCAAAGCAGTAAGTCACAACAATCCGTTTAGAATACCCATTCAAGCAGGCAGTCACTGAGGCAAAGCTTGGCTGAAGAGAAAGGGTTTTGCCTGTTTGTGGAAGGACAGCAAAAATGGGGGCAGTCTGAGCTCCAAAGTCTGGGAGCAGCACCAGAGAAGGCCCTCTCCCATGTCCCCATGAAACACACTTGTGAAGGTGGTGAGATCAAGAGAAAGGCCTCTCCTGATAATCATAACATCCAAACGGGCTCATAAAGTGAGACAGGATCCTTGAGATAGCTTGGATGCAAGCTGCTTGGGGCTTTATAGGATAGAATCAGCACTTTATCTTAATGATGAATTTAGAGAAGATGGCATTTCCCTCAAGCACACATAGCTTCAACAGTCTTCCAAGACTTTTTTCTGATAAGTCTAACTTACGTAGAATAAAGACATACTACTATACAGTCCTTTCTTTTCTCTGAGTAGTAAGAAGGTCCAAGCTACAGAGCTACATAGATTGGATTCTGTTTTTGAGCAGAGAGTGGTGACTAGCTTCTCAACAGTTCTCCAATATTTACTCCAACAAGATAAATTCAGAGAACAGGAAGACAGAGTCAATTTTTGAATGGCTTCATACAAACCACAGCGGATTGCAACAAGGACAAGCTAACGCAGATCCATCCGTGCCAGTGGACAGTGCAACTGCCATGGACAGAAGGGCTAAGCCAAGTGCCATGTTGAGAAGAACATCCACTGTTGCTAGGCAACCATCAACTATTTTCCTTCAGAAACTAGCAAAGCAGCTAGCTGAGTTTCAGTACAAACAAAGGCTGGCAAAGGGGTGGGAGAGACTCCCTTAATAAGGTGACTTTGGATGGTAATGAAAGTGTTGCTCTACTGCTGTAACCAGAGCAGTAAGATATCTTGAAGGCCTCAGACACTTAATGCTGCCAAAATACAAATGATGCAAAGATGTCTCTGTGGAAGAACACTTGCTTTACATGCAGAACAACCCAGATTCAATCCCTGCCATCTCCAGATAAAAGGGTCTGTACAAAACCTAAAGCAATAAGCAAGCAATCCTTTGATTAGGATGAACCAAAATTCCACAAAAGCGTGCAAGCTTTCGAATTTCCAGAACTCTTCCCCAGACTGTCAGTAATGGCAAACCTTTTTGAGCCTGAGTGCCCAAACTGCAACACAAAACCAACATATTTATTTCAAAGTGCCAACAACACTACAATTAAGCCTGAATACTGCACTGAGGGTTTAGTTTAGGGGGGAAAAAACAACTGCCCCTGCATTGCAAGAGTTAAATGCTTGTTTCCCCCCCCCCCAGGGGCAGTATTAACAGAGAAATACTTACTGGTCCTCCAATCCCCCATCGGGCTAGACAAGTAATGGCCACCATTGCACCCCTCCACTGGACCACTGCACCAGCAGAGCAAAGTGCCAAAATTCAGGATCGGAGGATGGGTAGGTATCTCTCAATGGCGACTTACGGCTCGTGTGCCCACACAGAGGGCTTTGAGTGCCAGCTATGGCACGCATGCCATAGGTTCACCATCACTGGACTAAATCAAGAGTTCAGGAGAACCTGCAAGCCTGCTCACATCTGTGAAATGTTAATTGTTCCTAATATAGGTATTGCCTGCCTAAATACTGGTCTGGTTGTACTGTATTCTTATAGATTAATATGATTTTCTTTCTTTGATTTTATGAAAGGATTGAATAGCACTTGATGGCAAACCTATGCCTGAAAGTCATAGCCATTTGTAGCTGAGAAGACAGGGCTAAGATAGCTAAATATTCTGACCTAACACAAAACAGCTTCCTGCATAAAATAGTGCGAGTGAAGTGTAAATGGTGTTACAGTGCCTCCTTTTTTCTGTTTCTCACCCTGCCTGTCTCCCTCCTGCCTGCTTCTTTCCTCCCCCACCCATGTTGTTTGTCCTTGATTTCCCCTTTTCCTCTCCTCCTCCTCCTGCTATAGATCCCGTGAGAACATTTGGCTGGGTGTCAACTCTGCTGAGTCACTGCTGCGTATGACCAGCATGTGAGTCACAAGAAGGAAGTCCCTTCCACACAGGGTACTTTTCAAACCGGAGCTGAGTAAAAGGGAAAGTTGTCCAGGAATGTTGGCTCAGAAGACCATTCTCTTGGAGCAGAGACAAACCTCCTGCTCTTTCCAAGTTATTTCCCTTTGTCACAGTGAACTTCTGCCACCGATGGTGTCCAAACCCTCAAGAGGAAGAGAAGAGTTTAAAGCCTGAGCAGCTGGAAAACTGTCATTAAAAGGAAGGATTACATAGGTATGTGGAAAATAAGCAAAAGCAGGAACGCTTCAGGCTTTGAATGGAAAGCTTTCTTCCACCTCAGGCTTGCTAACCTTGCTATTAATAGTTCGAGTGCTTCGAGGAACCTGGCTCCATAGAATCAAGCCAGCCTTCAGGACTCCACCATAGTCCCTGAGTCCAAGAACCTCTCCCATATTACACACCATGCAGAGTGCAGAGCTTGGAAAAGGTATTGCTGTGGGCTTTGACTCCACAAAAGCATGTCCTGGGAATTCTAGAATGTCTAATTTAAACATGAAACGTCTCCTAGTGCTGGCAATCACACCTGCACATCTATACCCAGAATTGGATCAGGATACTTTGCTTACAGGCAAATAGCAAGTTGGCACAGCACAGCACCTCCTCCCCTTTTTGTGTACAAAGGCCAGCTCTCCTGGTAGTTGAGTCCTCAACACAGGTGACAGGACAGCTTTTTTCACTACCCTTGAAGGCAGCAGACTAGCTTAGGGGGCACAGAGCAGGCTATCTAATACACAGCTTCCTCCTGTACCCTGTTGTTGCCTCCTAACATTATTGCCTTAGGCAACTGCTTCACTTTGTCAGATGGTAGGACTGGCCCTTACCATAGCCTATTATTCTAAGAATCTTCTCTTTATTAAGCTCTGTCCAAGATGTAGGTACAGGCCTTACCATAGCCTATTATTCTAAGAACCTTCTCTTTATTATACACATTAAGCTCTGTCCAAGATGTAGGTACAGGTGTAAGTGCAGCTACAGAGGAAAAGGTACCTCCAGGTAATATTGACAGTAATCTCAGACCAAAACGTTATCCCAAAAAAGTGGAGAGGAAGCAGGGGGAGGAAAAGGAGAACAAAATATTATAGCATCTTAGAGACTAACAAATTTGTTTCGGTGTAAGCTTTTTCTTTTTTCTTTAGAAAAAAATAATTAAACAGTTGGCCAACAGGCTGAAAAAAAGCAAACACCGCAACCTCTTCAGGACCAGTAGTATTTGTGGTATGCAGTTTTCAAGGCTAGCCCCACCATGGTAAGACAGACACCTCAAGCAGCAGATTTTGGCTATCACTGAAGGGTGGCAAATCATTATCATACTTTTTTTAAAAATAGATTTGATTTTAATCCCATTCTTCTTCACAGGAATTCTAAAATCACAAGTATCTAACAAATCAAAAAATACCATTGAGCACCAAGCACAAATAAAAGCCTACCAAAATGTATATATTTTTGGTTGATGCATAAAACACAATATCAAGGAGAAAAAAAGAATTACAGTACTGGAAGAGTGCTCCCACCAGGAACCCCCATTGCATCTGGAAGACCCATAAGTCATGCAGCTCCAGGACACAGTGAAAAAGTTTGTCCTTTAAGTGCCTGGATCCCGGGATGTTCAGGACTTTTTATATCTGTACAATCATCTCATATTATGCCCACTGGCAGCCAGTCTGATAATTTCAAAATGTGCGCTCACCTTTCGCTTTCTCTGTCAAGATGGGGGCAACAACATTTTTTATCAACTACAGCCTCCAGACCATCTTCAAGAAAAGCCACACAGAGAGCACATGACAGTAATTTAAATCAGAAGTTATCTGAATATGGGCTACTATGGCCAGGCTATTCCAAATTAATGTGTCCTTAGTTGTTGTACTTCTACTATAACATGGAGAAGGTGGCTGGGATTGTTGCAGGAATTTCTCTAACTTGTGCCAAACTAATTGGGTTGGCTGTGTGTATTATGCACCTTGATATGGGTATGTGTGGGAGGAGGGGCAGGTTCTGTTCTCAATCATCCCAAAGTGCAGGACATACAACAACGGGCTCAAGTTACAGGAAGCCAGATTTCGGTTGAATACCTCAAGATTAGTAGTGAGTACTCCAACATTAAGGGAGGCAGTGGAAGACAGGAGGGCCTGGCGTGCTCTGGTCCATGGGGTCACAAAGAGCCGGACACAACTTAACAACTAAATAACAACTCCAACACTATAGACATTACAGAGAAACTTAGACAACCACCTGGCAGATATCCTTTGATTTGTATTCCTGCATTGAGCAGGGGGTTGGACCTGATGGCCTTATAGGCCCCTTCCAACTTCACTATTCTATGATGCTATGACAACATTTGCCTCAAGCACCAAAATCACTTGGGCTGGCTTTGACAGTATGGTACAATTACATGAATCACTTCAGTTCAAATGTATTCTATAAGCAGGAGCTCTTTGAATTATGCCTGGTCTTTGCTTGTGTTGCAGTATGGCGCAGACTGTATACACTAACCAATGTGGAGCTGGTGAGTGAACACCTTGCCTCTCCACAGGGAACTGGGCATGATGCCTTTCCTTTTTCTTCTTTCACATGTCTTTTTCCCATGATCTGCCGTGCTGCCATTATGCTGCAACAGCACCACAACATCATCCCAGCAGAAAGCATCACTACAGCAGTTTAGAAAACTGCCTGCTATTCTGGCCACTAGCCAAGCACATATTCTTCCTTCTTTGGCTGTAAAGCAAACGGCAAATTTAGAAATGCTGATTTCAAAATGCAAGGTTCTTCCAAAAGCTGTTTCCGGAGCACTCATCCTAAAGCCATTAGGATAAATGCAAATTTAAAAATGCTTTGAATTACTTTTTTATTTTCTTGTTCCTCTCCTCCTGGAGACTGGACATCATCATGACTACTCTAACTTCAAATATGACAGCTCCAAAACAAGTCTGTTCTGCTGCATTCAAACCAGTCTCCAAGCTGTTTAGCCCATAAGTTCTTCTCCTTCCTGCACTTATTTTCCCATTTATTTTGCTTTAAATGATCAGCTGTTTCTCATTACAGCTGTGTCTGTACTTTCTGTTTCTCATTGTGTGACCCAAGTATTCTAGCGTTCTGTATTTTATATTGCTTGGACTTGCTCATTTCAGTAGTTCATCTTCACCGGTTAATGCAAGAAATTCTCAAAATTATTCAATAAATCCTCTTTTCAAATATTACTATGGCTTTTTTATTGCCTGTAGAGATGGGCATGAATCAACAAACTGCCAGTTCATGGCAGTACATTTATCAGCAGAATACATGTTGGGCACTTCCTTGAGGTGCTGCCTCTGAGTGGGTGCCCACCAGAGGAGGTGGGGCTGGGAAGTGCTGAACAACAAAGTGGCCAATGAACAAACCAGCATGAGCCACCAAACTGAAGGTTCGTACTCCTCTCTCGTTGCCTGTATACACTAACCAATGTGGAGCTAGTGAGTTAACCCCTTAATTCATAATTTGATGCCATATAGCAGAAGTACAATCAGAAGTAGGTAACCTGTTGTTGTTCTTCATGGCTTCTGTGAATCACACTGTGGATGACTAACAAGCTGTCTTACCCAGAGGAGGGTGTCAGGCCAAGGTAGATGACAATACAGCGTGCCCAAAAGCAGTGTCAGATTTCTACCAAACGCCCAATCTATAATGGTTGATGAATGTGGATGGCTGTGACCAGGTGGCAGAGGTGCAGAAATGCCGTAGATGCCGCCAATGGAGGCATTTGACAGTTACGGTCTTCCTGATGAGCCAGAAAGTAATAACTTGCCAGTGCTAAGAACATGCCAGGGCCAAGGAATATTGATTGATGTGCTTGGACTTTTTGGAAGCAGGCAAATAAGAAGTGCCAGATGGCTCGGAGCAATTGTGATAGTATTGCTTTGATCCTGAAGTCTCCTGAAGAAGAGCAACATGTTCTGGACATGCCACAGGACCAGGAAGACCAGTTGGCAGTTAATGTCTGGTGGGCCTTTCCATAGGGCACCAATCAGGGCAAAGAGCATCCCGTTGATGGTGCTGAGCACAATTCTTTTCCGCGTGTGAGGATAAGCGGATGCTCTTAGAGGCTTGACGCCAATGTTGATGTGCTGGAGGCTGAGGTGGTAGGCCTACTGGGACAGTGTAACGCACAGTCTCTGGCTGAGTTTCAGCGTCATGTGGGCCTAGAGAGGCAATTGGTGAGAACACACTCAGAGAGCCCGAAGAACATTGTGGGCTGTCAGGAGATGCTGTCAGTTAGTTGATCCTCTGATCCCATTCGGGATACTGCGAAGGTGACTGTTGGTGAGGTGGAAGTGGTTCCTTGTCTGAAAGAAAATTGATACAGACCAAATATGGTGGTTGTGGAGTCGGGGAGACGACTGGAAGAGGCTTTGATTTTGAGGACTTAGTCTTCTTCGGCAGCAAAGGTTCAGGTACTGAGGAAGCGTCCATGGACTGTTTCCTCTTTAGCGCTTTCTTTATTGTCGAGGGCTTCGACTTCGACTGCTTGGTTTTGTGCACTCATGTGACTGTGGATTTGGAGGGCATGGAATTGAAGTGAGATGGAGTAGCTGACAGGCGCTGTTTCGCCACCTCGGAAACTGCTTTGTTCATGGCTTTACTGTAGGATATGGACTTGCAAGGAGGCTGACCCATGGGTTTAGCCGGCTGGAGAGATTGCTCCCAGAGCCAAAGCTTAATTTGAGAAAGATGGCTGCAGAGAACCCCACATCTAAAGTTCTTGCAATGAGGACATGATGAGGTTTGATGAGCCTCAGCAAGGCAAAAAAGGCATTTAGCGTGGCCGTCTGAGAGTGGAATCTTGTTACTGCAGGCTACATAGCACTTCAACAGGCCAGAAGAGGCCATGAACCGAAGATCGGTTATTGGGGGAGGGGGGAGGAATTGCTTTGGCCCTAAAAGACCGGAGCGTATTTCTTCTTGGTCTGTAAATATAGTACAGTATTAGTAATAGCTGTTATATTAAGGATAAAATTTAAGAAAATTGAATAACTTTCCTTTTCTTTCATTTTCAGTTTTCATGCAGAAGGAACGACGCAGCGGTTGAAAGAAACTGAAGAGAGAGCCTTGGTACCAAGATGCATATACCAGGGGAGAGGGGTCTGCTCTAGTGTATCTTTTTGCTACCACAGAAGCTCTAGAACATTACGATGAGGCTCTGCACATGTGCGGATTACCCACAATGAGATTCACTGGGGCCACGAAGAACCAAGAATACACAGCATTGTACAAAACTCATTCTCAAAGCCAATTTTAAGTTTTGTTGCACATTATGCATCATTAGGAAGCTGTTCTGGGTCATCTGTTCTATTGCATCTCCATTGTGTCACTGTTATTTCAATCAAATTCCAAGATGCTTCAAACTGTCAACACATTCAACACTTTCATTTTGAATCTTTTACTGCATTTCTGAGGATCCTTGCTATTTACTAATTGATTAACCATGAACTTGGCTTTCCTAACATTCATTCTTAGTCCATGTTCATTACTTACTTCATTGACTTTACTGAATAAGACCATCGCATCATTGAAATCATTAACATGTACTTTTTGGAACATCTACACATTATGGTATCATCCTTGAGCACTTAGTTTTTCCAGCAATTGTGATCACTCAAATTTATTTCTTACTTGCATTCGCATCTATATTTCCTCCAAAGACATCAGAGTGGTATATGTTGCTCTTTTTCCTTGCACAACTTGCTTTATCCTCACAACGGCCCTGTGAGGAAGGTAGAATTGATACATAGTGACCACTTCTAGGTATAGGTAAAGATTCCCCTTGACATTTAGTCCAGTCATGTCCGACTCTAGGGGGCAATGCTCATCCCCGTTTCCAAGCCATAGAGCCAGCATTTGTCCGTAGACAGCTTCCATGGTCACGTGGCCAGCACGACTAAACACAGAACACTGTTACTTTCCCACCATAGTGGTACCTATTTATTTAGTTGCATTTTTATATTCTTTCGAACTGCTAGGTTGGCAGAAGCTGGGACAAGCGATGGGAGCTCACTCCATTGCATGGATTCGATCTTACAACTGCTGGTCTTCTGACCTTGCAGCACAGAGGCTTCTCTCTTTTTCTTCCACCAGAAACACTTCCACTGCCTTTGTAACTCCTGTTCCTTCATCGTCCAACTTTATCAACTCCCCCACTGCACAATCTTCATGTTCTTTCTGTGATTCTTTCGTGGAGGACGGCACACTTCTGTGCTCCTGTTCACACTTGTTTTGCACATAACTTGCCAACATGGCAGTATGTCTACTCAGAACTGCTTACATGTACCAAAAATGAATGTGAGTTAACTCTGATTAAGAGGTTTTGGTGAGGAATAAACAAAAGCTTGGGATCTTCTTTGAAGAGAAATATTATCATAGGCATTGCATTGTCTGCATAAACCTGAAAATGGTAGGGATCATTCATACCCCTTTTCCACAAAAATTAGAGCAACGTATTGTATATCACTGTCAATGGTATTCCTGATGAAGAAAACACTAAATCTAAAATGTGAACTTGGGTTATATATTCTCCCACCTGAGAATGTTAACCAAAAAAATCACACTACAGTGGTTTCAGATATAGTTACGTGGACATGCCTTAACTATTCTTAGGAAACTATCTCTTTCCCATGGCATTGTAAAATCTTTTCTTCATGGCAAACCTCTTGTACACCCACATTGTAGCCCATTCATACTACATCATATTTGTTCTTGTGAGAATAACACCTGTGTCTAAGAAAAACTCTCTCTTTATTTGTGCAGTATTAAAACTTTAAAAACTCATGGTATTATGGTGAGAAAACATCAGTGAAATACCTCCGTCAGGATGCATCTGACTGTTCTGTTTTGTTCTTCATGGAAGGAATTGACAGTTCTAAAATAACCGATGCATAAAGAACTAGTAGTTAGAAATTAGAACTAGTAGCTATATTACTTACTTTAGAAAACCACTACTTGGAAGAAGTAAGACAGAATTCTTCCATGTATTTTGCAGGTACCTGGGTTAGTGCATAGGTGCTTGCTCTATGTAGATTCTCACCTAATCCTAAGGTGTGTGAAACTGTTCCATTTAGTTTCATCTGCCATCAGATCATTAACAGTTTTTTTTTAAAAACCAAGGAATGAATCACATCACAAAGACAACTGATCCAGACTTTTCCACATTTCTGTATTGGTTCCAAAAGGTAAATGATATGAATAAAACTTCATGATGCAGAGAGACATGTAAGTTTTTCAGCAACCATCATGCAGAGCATGGTAAGGTTTCTCTGCCTGAGAAATTCTGCAAGTTATACAGCAAAAAGAGCACTGTAGGATACAAAATTTGAAACTTTTTAAGTCCCAAAAGTCACAGGGATATGATATTCAGTTTCTTATCCTTTCCCAGAAATGCTGTTTCCTGATGTTGCTCCCCTTACAGGTTACAAAAGTTGTAGGAAAGCATATCCTGAATCTAGCTTCTGCTAACAAAGCAGCTATTTAGAGTGTATTGCTAATGACAGCTGGGGTGTCTTAGATGATCAGTGACAGGCTACCATGCATTTGCTCCTGCTGTTCTATGGCAAGGATAGTGGCTGTAATAAAACACTTTGATTGAAGAGCTTGGCACAGATGGACTCCCTGGCGTCTGAGCCCCTATTAATGACCCTTCGTATCTCTTACTGAGAATCATTACCCTAGTTAATCAGTAACACCATTTCCTCTCTGTAGGTTTGTTTCCATCCTTTTCTGTGGCCCCTCTGGATTACCCTAATGAACCTCATCAGTCTGCTGATGCCATAAAGTATGAATGCATGCTGGACTCTTGTTGAGAGATCAGAATGTCTTCCTTTTCTGGACTACGAGAATCCCCCAGCCAACAACTCTCAAGTCTGACAGCTGTAATTCCAAAACTTATTTTCTCAAACTCTGCTCCTATCAGCTTCCTACACACCTATTTCTGAAAGCATTTGCTGCCTTTGTGAATGGTATCAAGAAGGCACAGAAGGCTAGATGTCACCGGAAAGAAAACCTGCATGTTGAGGGTGACGCTCCAAGGGCAAGATGCCGCCTAAAGTTTGGTAGCCCCTCAAAGGTTCTACCCCAGTTCTATGTCTGCTTTGCGCTGCAAACTCCAAGTGAGTATGTGAGTTATTTGGTCAGGATTTCCAACTCTAAAGCAACACTGGAGAGTTTTCAAATGGGTGTGGCACAAGGAAGAGAAAAAGAACTGCTGCTGCATTATCTAGATAGTTTGCTGAATTCCCAAGACTTGCACCAACATAACCAATAATTAAAGCCTTTCCCATGAAACGAAACAAAACCTCAAGCCTTGTGTTCAGAATAATTAGAATGCAGCTCATCCTGAAATCATATCATTAATGCTTTTCTTGACACAGAATGCCTGAAAGTGCCATGCCGTAAGTTCCAGCCAAGATCTAGCTATAGCTTTCTGACTGTGAGAGAGACTCTCAGTCAGAATTAGTCCACTGAATTAGTCAAGGTGAACAAGAAGGCATCTTTGGAAGTGTGCTGTGTGCTGCACTACTTGGTACCCATGCAACTATTTTTTGGTAGAAACTGCCCCTTCAGATGTGCTCTACATGAGCACCCCAAGTGGTTCTTATTTATGTATGACTCTTTGGAAATCTATGAGTAAACATTAAATTCACTGTGTCAAACTCTAGCCAGTTGAGACCAGGAGGCTACTTCTGAAACCTCCTGCACATATAGTCTGACCCAGCTGTACCCATATTGTGGTAACTCCCTGGTTAAATTATTGCACTAAATTGAACATCTTTGAAGTGTGTTCAGATCTGCAGCTAGGTAAGAAGCAAAAAGCAAAGCGTGCTGCTTATATACCGCCCCAAAGCGCTTCAAGCACTCTCTGGTGGTTTACAAGTTAATTATGCAGGCTACACATTGCCCCCTCCCCCAGCAAGCTGGGTACTCATTTTACCGACCTCGGAAGGATAGAAGGCTGAGTCAACCTTGAGCCGCTACCTGGGACTGAACCCCAGGTCGTGAGCACAGTTTTGACTGCAGTACAGCGGTTTAACCACTGCACCACAAGGCTCTAATTCATGTTGACTGTGTTAGTCATTTAGAATCAACTGTGTCTAGGCTGGTTTTGTTTGATTTTGTTTTTGCTGATTGGCCAGGAAGCAAATCCTATTGTGATTAATGGGAAATAATGTCCTCCTTTTAAAAAGTCATTGGCTAGAGAATCATACTCAGAGAGTGATGATTAATGGGCTCCTTCTCTGACTGGGAGGAGGTAACAAGTGGGGTAACCCAAGGCTCAGTCCTGGGCCTGGTGCTGTTCAACATTTTTATTAATGACTTGGATGAGGGAGTGCAGGGAATGCTTGTCAAATTTGCTGATGACAAAATTGGGTGGAATAGCTAATACCCTGGAAGACAGGAACAAAATTCAAAATGATCTTGATAGGCTGGAGCACTGGGCTGAAAACAACAGAATAAGATTCAACAGGGATAAGTGCAAAGTACCGAAAGAAATGCACAATTACAAGATGGGGGATATCTGGCTCAGCAATACTACAAGCGAGAAGGATACAGGTATTGGAATTGTTGTAGAGCTGAATATGAGCCAACAGTGTGATGCGGCTACAAAAATGGCAAATGCTGTTTTAGGCTGCATTAACAGAAATATAGTTTCCAAATCCTGCAAGGTCCTAGTTCCCCTCTATTCAGCACTGGTTCGGCCTCACCTTGAGTATTGTGTCCGGTTCTGGACACCACACTTCAAGAAGGTTGCTGACAAATTAGAACAAGTTCAGAGGAGGGCAACAAGAATTATCAGTGGGCTGGAAACCAAGCCTTATTAGGAAAGACTGAAAGAACTGTGTATGTTTAGACTTGAGAAAATAAGACAGAGGAGTGATATGGTAACACTTTTCAAATAATTGAAAGGCTGCCATACAGAGGAGGGGCAGAATCTATTCTCGATCGTCCCAGAGCGCAGGGCATGCAACAATGGGCTCAAGTTACAGGAAGTAAGATTTTGACTTAATATCAGGAAAAACTTCCTAACTATTAGAGCAGTACAGCAATGAAACCAATTACCTCAAGAGGTGCTGAGTGCTCCAACACCGGAGGCATTCAAGAGAAACTTAAGACAACCACCCGGCAGAAATAGTTTGATTTGTATACCTGCATTGAGCAAGGGATTGGACTTGATGGCCTTATAGGCCCCTTTCAACTTCACTACTCTATGATTCTATGTTTTTATTTGACACCATAATAAAAAAATAATAGTATTACTCAATTGGCTTTCATTAGATCTCCCTTGGAGTACTTTGTCCATTTCTAGATATTGGCAAGTTGAAACATGTTCAGACGAGGGCATCCAAGACAGCAAAGGGTAC